AACAGTATAATATAGCCTCTGTAGAAATACAGCAGTTTTGTGAAGGCATCTGATAGTTGCAAGAAAACTTTTTAGAACATAAAGCATCATTAATACCCAGGAACCCATCAGAAAGGTATGAGGTTTATTATTAGGTCATAAAACAATATCATATCCTAAATTATAATCATTTCAAGGAGGAGTGCTAAGGCTACAGGACATGGCATAGCAACTACACTGTCAGGCCAAAATTCAACCTCCGACTGCAGAGCTGATAGAGATGTACTCCAAAACACTTTAATGGACTAATAGAAATGGAAAAGATTCCTATGAATACTGGTTTGACAAAGAACTGCTATGAACACAAATATGCACAGTTAATTTAGTTTCAAATCTTCGAAGAATATTGAAACCATATATCATATTCATTCTACATCACAACGATGCACTACTTCATAAAACCCATTAAAGTTTGTGGTTGTAATCTAAATAAATGGGAAAAAAATCAGTGTGTATGAAAAGATTTTCAAGGCAGTATATTGTATGGCGCTAGAGTAATTTAATCTCTAGGATTGGCCTGATTTATTTCTGAAGCAAATCTTCATATTACTGTCTAAAATAGAAAGAATTCCCCATTGAGGTGTCAGCTGTGCATTCATAGAACATAGAGACGCAGGGGGGGAATAACACCCCTGTGCACATGCATTCATAAACTCATCCCATTCGCATTCTAATCACCTATACACACTCGATCTCTGAGAATTATCAGTGTTTGGGAACATTTTGTCTCATTCCTTATTCATGGGCAAGAGTTCTGATTATGTCTTATTCATGCCACTGCTTGCTATGTCTGTTTTAATGAAAAATTGTAGGAGATTGCATTCTTATCAAGAGGTCTCAACTCAAGGTTTCTGCCACATTTGCAACAGGGCCAAAATTATGCATCTAGTATAATAGGGGACACGATGCAGGAGTTCAAAACACATTTCATCATTGCAATGTATTTGAAAAACACATAATTATGTAACAAGGATTATTATTTAGTAATTTACAGAGTGGCCCTTCATTTCTGTATTGCTGTCAAACTAAGTGCATTAATTGACTAACATAAAATCAGCTTTAACTTTTTGATATTAGCAGCTTGTGCTTTCAACTTCCATCTTATTTTTCTTTGTTTCTTATCAGCAGATGATGCCACAGGTTTTGGTCCAGTGTTTGTGGAGCAGCCGGTGGATACCATCTACCCTGAGGAGTCGCCTGAAGCCAAAATTATCATGACCTGCGAGGCTAGAGCCAACCCACCTGCCACATACAGGTGACATATGCTACCATAAGTCTAACCTCATTGAATTCTGTATCTCTTCTTTCTGGGTCTGTTGGTAAAATGCAAAACCTGGTATGTATTTTCTTATATACTCAGGGTGTATATGGAAGAAAAATAATTTTATGAACGCTTTCTGATCTAATTCTAGATGTGTTTTTCAGTTGACTTCTCTTGGTGAATTGAAAATAGAATATTGATTATTGATTTAGCAGGATCAATTACATGACTAAATTAGCATAAAAATGTCATATATTATATAAATCATAAAAAAAAAACTGAGATGTGAGCTGGAAAGATCAGTCAGTAGGAAAGGGCACAGGTCTCTGTATGACCTTGTGCAAAAAGAGGTATAATCAAAAATTCCTTTGCCTCTATATTTTAACCATGATAAATATTTTAAGGGGGAATAAAGTCCTCCTCTGTTGCTAGAAGTACTAACAGTAGACATCACTGAAAATGCCAAAAAAATGGAAAAATAATGACTTCAGGTATTAGCAAGGGACAATTTTAAGTATGGAGAGCGCAATGTGTGTAATTGACCATAATTTCAAATACATTGGACAAACAAATGATTCCAAAGTTTTTTTTTGTATGGTGCATTTTACCTTGCACATTAATTTAAATTGAAAAACATGACATCATTTTTGTTGTTGCCTTTAAGGCATAAACAGTTAGCCTGGGTGCCATTCCGAACTTAGTCCCGCACACAACGTTTGAGGTCG